CCAAGAATTACTTATTCTTATCAATATACAAATACACTTTAATATCATCTAGATTTAAAAAGTCAATATTTCCCTTGACCCCCAGACTTTTCTCTACCTACTGTTTCATTTCTTGAACTCTGTCCTGTAAAACAACTACCTATACTTGCTGTATATACCTGTTGTCTCACTCGCTTGACATTCTCAACACACTCAAGATGGGCTCAAGTACCCTCCATGTAACTAAAGTGGCTCTTTTTTTTTTTTTTTTTAAGAAAGAGAGAGCACCCAAGTGGGAGAGACACTGAGGGAGGGAGGGAGAGAGAGAGAGAGAGAGAGAGAGAGAGAGAGAGAGAGAGAGAGAAAGAATTTCAAGCAGGCTCCATGCCCAGTATGGAGCCTGACACAGGGCTTGATTCCACGATCCTGGGACCATGACCTGAGCCTAAATGAAGAGTCAGATGCTCAACTGACTGAGCCACCCAGGCGCCCCTGAAATGGCTGTTTTTAAGGTCATTGATTGATGATGATTTGATTTTGCCAAAGTTCATTTACTGTCATCATCTTATTCCTTGTTTTAGTAGCATCAATGCAGTTGACTGTGTATCTGGTTTTGTCTTTTCTGGGTGGCTCAGTCACAGTGAGTGTCCCATGTTTGTTCATCCTTTTTTCTCTGATCTCTTCATGCTGCAGAACTTGGGATTTGTTCCCCCACTCTCTCTCTCTCTCTCTCTCTCTCTCTCTCTCTCTCTCTCTCCCTCCCTCCCCCCATCCCCCAGTGATCACATTCAGTCTTGCCGTCTGACCTCTCTATTTGAGTCTAACAGATACCTCAGACTTCACATGTCCAGAATACAGTCCTGGTCCTGCCCCTCCAGTTTGTCATATTTGCTGTTTTCTCCACCTCAGAATGAGACCCATCCTCCCGCATTGCTCAGTCTTAAAACCTCGCATACATTCTTTACTCCTCGTTCTCACATACCATTCTCTTGGCTCTACCTTCACCACATGCAGCCTTTTCTCACCGCTGTGATTGCTGACAGCCTAGGGTGAGCCAATGTTGACTCTCCCAAGAGTGGTCTTCCTGCTTCCACCCTTGCCCACTGACGGTGTGTTTGTTCTGAGGGGCTGTGGATCTCAATCACAGTAAGAACTAAATCTTTCCAAAGGCCTGTGAGCTCCTGTTTGAGCTGCGCCCTCCTTCTACCCGTGATCTCCCCATTCCTGTCTGTCAACTTTCCCTTCCCCTTTCACTGTGTGCTTTGACCACACCAGTCTTCCTGAGATGGAACACACTTGCCTTGGGGCTTCTGCATTGAATGTTCACCCTGCCAGGCAGCCTTCTCTTCCTAATACCCACATTCCTAACTTCCTTCCTTCAAGATTTTGTTTAAATGCCAGATTCTCACTGAGGCCTGCCCTGACCACCCAGATTACAATTGGCAGGGCATTCTTCACCTCACCTCTGAAATTCCCAACCCTCTTTCCCAGCTCCATTTTGTTTTCAGCTATACTTATCATGTTCTAGCATGGTGTAATTGACTTGTTATGTTTATTGTTGGCCTCTCCCTTCACTAGAACATAACCTCCCAGAAGGCAGAAATCTGTTTCATTCACTGATGTTTCCCAACTTGCCTAGAATGGAGCCTGATTTAGAAAATCCTCGATGTGTAATTGTTGGATGAATGAATAAAGGTGGGGATAAGTGGGCTACACTATCCATGAGAGGCCTAAAATGCTGTCCATCCCAGCTCACCTTCCCCTAAACCCTGTACATTTCTTTATTGCAAAATTGCAATTTTTGTTTATGGAAAATAGCGCTTTTTTTTGTCTTTCCTTGTGCGCTTCTCCAAAGCAGATTAACGAGTTCAGTGTTCTTTTTGATGTTTCCAAACAAGACGCCAGGTTCATGTTGGCAGGGCCACTTACCACCGTGTGGCCAGGCTAGAACACATTCCCGTGTGTGTTCTACAGTCACAGGAACTGTGCCTTCCTCACTTTAGGTGTGTTACAGGAAGGTGTCACGATTAAATATTAGGGCATACCCTCTAGGAGTACATTTTTGATGTATTTAGCACATTTCTAGGACCCATGACTGTGGGGTGCCTCCTGCACCTCCCCCTTGCCTAGGGACACCCTTGGATGGAAGACAGCACTGCTTTCATAAGCCTCTTTCTTCTCTGAGAGAGCCCTTAAGCAAAGAAGTTTCCTCTCTGACACTCTTTGAAAGAGTTCCAGCCATTTGGGCATGGTTGCACACCCCTCCTGAGTGTATGGGGAGAAGAAACAGACTGTGTCCATGGGTGTTTGTACTGCGGTGCATGTTGCAAAGTTACAGGAAACTGGTTGCACTAGAAAGGCAGCATTCCCCCTTGTCTACCTGATTGCTCTAGTAACACCACAGCCCATCGCTCTGTTCACTTCCTTCCTAGCACTTACCAAATTTCTAATTGTCCTGGCTATCATATTTATTATATAATTGTTATAGATGCATATAGTTGTACATATATTTATACATGTACATTACATATACTTGTAATAATATGTTACATATAAGAATATTATATTATTTTCACCTGTGTCCCCTACTAGACCATGAACTCCATGAGGGCAAGGGCTGTGTCTCCAGCATTTAGTGCGAGTCTGGAATAGATGCTTCTCTTTATATTTTTCAATAAGTAGGTAAAAGGTTAAAGTGAAAGAAGGCAAAAGAAGCATATCTATCTATTATGGTCGATGCTGTGCCACGATAAAATTGATTTCTGTGCCTTTGTGTGTACTGTGGGGCCTTATCCCGCGACTGCAACAGAAAAGACCTTCTCACTCCAAGTTTGCGTCTTTCCCAATTTGAGGTCTTTCCCAGATAAGTCTTCAGGTCACAGTTTTTTATTAGTAAAGTGAGGGGATAGAACATTAATTCTCTAAATTACTTCCACTCTTTTAGTGGTTAGGATATTATCACTATACCATTATTTATTTATTTATTTATTTTTAATTTTTTTTTCAACATTTATTTATTTTTGCGACAGAGAGAGACAGAGCATGAACGGGAGGGGGGCAGAGGGAGACACAGAGATGGGAAGCAGGCTCCAGGCTCTGAGGCCATCAGCCCAGAGCCTGACGGGGCTCGAACTCGGACGGCGGATAAAGTGACCTGGCTGAAATTCGGACAGCTTAACCGACTGCGCCACCCAGGCGCCCCTATCACTATACCATTATTATCAAATTTGTTACTAATTTTGTTGGCAGTTTTCTGCATTTCAGTCCACTTCCATTTTAATTGCTACTGTGTGCTTATACTTTGCTGAGCTACATAGCTTCAGATGTGATTTGAAAGCACAGTTTAATATGCAGATAAAATAGTTCATATTCTGATGATGAGCTTGTAAGTTGTGATTTTTGGTATTATGTCTTTATTTTTTAATTTAACCTAGAAAAGTTGCATGGTGACCAGTGTTAGTCTTAATTTTTAATCTTTCAGTGCCCAAATTACTACTCACTAGTAGTATAAATAAATAGGATCTGCTTATTGTTTTCAAGCAAGAAGAGAGCACAGAGATTATTTTATCCATATTCTTTATTTTACTAGGAATGGTAAAAGGACAGTGACTTGCCCACCATCACATAAGTTATAAATAACCTAAGTGTAACTAAAACATACATAACCGGTGGCTCTCGGTCCTTTGATTTTGAAAGTATAATCCATTTCAAGTCCATGAGGTGCACAAGACAGACATAGGTATAACCTTCATAGAATTTACCACCCACTGAGATAGAGATAAGAAGATTATTCATAATTGTAAGGAGGGTTACAATGTGCTATAACCTAGCCAAGGAAGTTGGACCTAGATGAAGGCTCATGGTAGGCCTGCTGATTTCATAGAACTTGAAAATGCGTAGAAGTAAGTTTGGCAATGAAGGAAGAAGAACACTCTGGGCACAGCACTCCAAACAGTCTGTACAAAGACCTAGAATGAGTAGATGGTATGTAAGAAGGCCTGGGTGAAGGCAACAAGGAGCCCAGGGAGCAAGGGGAGGAGAGCTTGAGATGATAACCTAGGTGCAGATCAGACTTTGGGTGGCTGTATAGACCATGGCAAGAATTAGATGGATTTGAATTACAAGGTTCGAAGTTATGGAGTGGCAGTTCTTGGAGGTCATGCAGATCCCTTGAGTGTCACTTTATTCAGTGGCATAAAAGCAGAGTCCACACCAGTCTTCAGGCTGATCCTGACCCAGGTGCTCAGCAGTTCTTAGCAGGAGATATGGGAAGTATAGTTGTTTCTGCCTGTTGTCCCCACCTTCTGGGTCAACACCAACACACCTGCTGTCTCACCTGTTCTGAGACTCAGGTTTGGACTGGCTTTCTGACAATGTTTGGAATAATCCACTCTTCACCTGACAGCTGTCCTCTTCTGCCGCTTTGCCTCACTTTAAATTTTGTGTTCCTATCTGCATATGCTTGGATTCCAATATGATTTCTCTGTCAGATTCTCAGCTGCTAGCAGTCTGTGGATCTGACTCCTAGTAAGTGGGATTGGTCACTTAAATTCATTTCTTTTAGGGGCACCTGGGTGGCTCAGTCAGTGAAGCTTCTGACTCTTGGTTTCAGCTCAGGTCATGATCTCACAGTTTCATGAGTTTGAGCCCCACATTGGGCTCTGTGATGATGGTGTGGAGCCTGCTTGGGATTCTCTCTCTGCCCCTTCCCTGCTCACACTGTCTCTGTCTCTCTCTAAATAAATAAATAAACTTAAAAAAAAAAAAAAAACTCTCCTAGCATCTAACTTGTAATCAGAGTTTCAAAAGAATCCTATGCATTTGTTGCCAATATTGCTTTGCTTTATTATGAATGTGCGGGTTTTAAAATAATGACTTCGTTTCCAACAACGTAAAATTTGTTTCACTTATTCCACTTGACATGATTTAATTTTTTAATATTTTGTTACATATGATGGAAGTGAAGTGTTTGCGTTGTTGCTGTGTGTTCAACTGCTTTTTATTTATTCTTTAATTTACAGTTTTCACGGGTACTGAAGAATAGAGCCTGGCCCACCTTTAAACAGGCCAAATCTAAAATTTCCCCATTACACAGCAGTGATTTCTGCCCTACCAACTGCCATGTCAACATAATGGAAGTTTCCTATCCCAAAACATCAACCTCTCTGGGGAGTGCATTTGGTGTTCAGCTGGATAGTAGGAAGCATAATTCTCTTGATAAAGAAAATAAATCTGAGCAAGGTATGTTAGCTTTTGAGATTTTCTTAAATCATGAAAAGTACTTTAGGCAATTATTAACTATTCCAGCATCCCTGAAATATGATAGATTCCTCTGTGTGCAAACAAGTCTGAATTTTATAAAGACAGGAATCCTCTCTATTTTCATTTGGATAATTGTACATAAGCATTTATCAAATGAAAATGGAGTTATTCATTTTTATTATTTTTTCTCTAAGAAGAGGGGTTGTTCTTGCCTTCCTCACATGTATGATAGACACAGCTTATCCTGCTGTGAAAACGACGAGTCTGAAGTGGCCCCATAACTGTGAGAAAAATACAGGAGGAGCTCCTTCAGCCCAGGGCCACTCCACACCATCACAATGGGGTATGAGATCGAATCATATTTTAATCACAACTCCCAGAAGCTTTAATTCCTGAATTAAATTCACCATCGGATTGGCATTTTATTTTATGTTAGCTTGGGCGTCTAGAATGAATTGCATTGGATCGTTACTGTAAGTCAAAGGTCATAAATATTGTTCTGCAATAATGTTAACTCCTCAGGGAAATTGAGCCCTATGGTGTACATTCAACACACAATCACAACAATGGCAGCCCCTTCAGGTCTGTCTCTGGGACAGCAGGATGGACATGGGCTCCGATATTTGTTAAAAGAGGAAGACCTAGAAACTCAAGATATTTATCAGAAGCTGTTGGGCAAACTTCAGACTGCACTGAAAGAGGTGGAGATGTGTGTTTGTCAAATTGATGAGTAAGTATTTTATTTACTGTACTTTTAACTGTGCCTAATAAAATAGCTATAGAAAATGTGACTTTTTTGAACACCCATCATTCTCTTTCATTTTTAGAAATATACGAGTGTGTGTATGTATGTGTGTATGTGTAAATCACATAGATCCTCTTTATTCCAATACCTTAAAAATGATATAACATGATAAATATATAGATATATATTTTAAGGAAGCATTTAATACCAGAGAAGAGATGAACAAAATTCTGTCTTCTAGAAGACACTAAATAAATCTCAATGTGCAAATAGTAAATTGAAAAATATGATTGAAAGAGTACCAACTAGGTATAGGGATCTCCTTGTATGCTTTATGGAACAGAACACGGTATTTGATATATGTATGCACTCAATAGATGTGTATGGAAAAATATAAAATATAACATCTTTAACATGCCTGTTAAATAAGTAAATGCAAAATTATGTATCCATAGGACCAATGACCAGCAACCTTTTTTTTTTTTTCCTTCTGATTGAATTAATGGTTTACTAAGCACTAACTCAAATAGCTATGCCGGTCATTTGGAAATTTTTACCAAGAACTGAGAAACAGAGGTAGTTAATTAAAACTTTTCCAGGGGTGCTTGGGTGGCTCAATCGGTTAAATGTCCAACTTCAGCTCAGGTCATGATCTTGCAGTTGGTGAGTTCCAGCCCTGTGTCAGACTCTGTGCTGACAGCTGAGAGACTGGAGCCTGCTTTGGATTCTCTGTCTCCCTCTCTCTTTGCCCCTCCCTCCCTCACGCTCTGTCTCTCTCTCAAAAAATAAATAAACATTAAAAAAGTTAAAAAAAAAAAAAACTTTTCCAAAGAGGTCAACTCCGATTCTTATTTTAAAATTTGATGGTTGGACAATTGCCTCAACTCTGTGGGATGGTTTGCCACATCTCGCTGTGTGATGATGCTTCACAGGTAGTCAAGACAACTCTGTATGGTCAAAACGACATGGGCTTTGTGATAGCTTGGTTAGTCATGTGTTAAACAGGATGAAGAATAATAACACATTACAAGTTTGTGATGAAAATTATAAAAGTTAATACAAAAAGTCATCAGGCAGTGCTTAACATCATACTTGCTCATCTTTCAAGGAGTTGAAATTGCTGAGTATATCTGAAGTTGGTAGAATTCTGAAAGTGGTCTAGACACATTATCCCCTTCTTATTGTACTCTCTTTATAAGGTTATAGATTGAGATTGCTATTGGGCGTGTATTGTTTAATCTCCACACACATTATCCCACACTTCCTTGGATAATTCAGTTTTGACACAAAATATTTAGAACTTATTCTAAGCCTTTTTTTTGGTCATTGGACATTATACTGATACAATCTTAATTGACATGATCTCTTATATCTTTGAAATTTAGAGATAAGGATCACCATATGAGATGCATCATATTTCTAAGGTTATCTTTAGATAGTTACTATTTACTATGCTGCTTTGTTCTGACATTTTTACGAGTTAATTTAGACTGGAAATCCTGCCTTCTTGTGTCTAATACACTAGTTTTCAAAACTACATATAGCATTGGTGTATTATATTGTGACTGTCCCATTTACAGATGAATTAAATAGTTTGGGGTTGCTAAGAGAATGGGTGGTTATTTTTAGGGAATGGTATCATACTTTGGATTGTGTGAGAATCACTCATGTGACACATAAGTTAATATCTTAGGGCATTGTATTTTGTTTTATTTAATAAATGGAATTTTATTCTATGATATGTCGTATTTTAGAAACCAGTTTTTCCCCCTTAAAGTATTTAGGAAGTGCACAGAGTAAGAATCTTTGTTAATAAAGCAATAAATTGTGGCACTGAATCACGAATCCTAGCTCTCAGAGGGATTTTAGGAGAACATCTGGAGCGATCCCATACTGCCAGTTAGTCCAAGAGTGATTATTCCTGCTTTTCAGATGAGTCCTTTACCAATGGCAGGAGTATTGATGTGCCTACGCGGACACTACCTTGGAGACGAGGCCTCTAATGCATTGACTACTCAGCACTTCCTGGCAGTTGTCCAGACTTCATCTGTCTTTGTTAATTTACTGACTTTTTTTTTTTAACTTTAGCTAATGTAGATACATTTTTAAGAAAGTGGTTAGAGCCAAAGGGTTCCCTTTACCTGGCTTAAAATGCTTGATATTTAAAGCACTCATTGAAGAAAGAAGTTAGGCTATTTTTATTAGCCAAAACTACTGAAAATAATTACTTATTTTTACTGTTTTTCTTAAGATTTTCCCACTCTAAAACCCTTTACCTTACTGTGCGTGTTTATTAGGAAAATGACATGAAATGAGTAAGTGATTTGAGAAACTTCCCTGGTCTTCTCTGTGTGCACCATATAATTTAATTCTAAATATAAATATGTTCCATGTAATTCAATGTGCAGCATAATCATTTTAAAACAGTGCAGTTGTCCAACTGCCTGGAGTCCCTGTTGCCCCATTCAGAGATACTGCAGTGCAGTCGAGCTTGACAAATTATTTGAAAAGCTAGTTACCCAACAATTTTCTCACCATGTAGTAATTATTCTTGGTCAGACAGAGATGCCTCTGCAGAGTGGAGAAGCAGATCTCTGATACTTTGCCAAATTTTAAGAGGAATTGCCTCATAACACCTCATTGCTGGCCTTTCTGGAAATCATTCATTCCTGTGAAAGGGCCTGGTACTGAGCTTGTCTGCTTCCCCTGCCACTTGGGAACCCTTCTAGAAATAAAATTTTCTTCAACGCATAGACATCCCACTAAGTGTTCCTACTTCAGTCAGATCCGGAGATGGAACTAGAGACATATTTGTTGTCTATAAACATGAAATAAGGTGACGTTATGAACTTATTCAAAATTCTGTGATTCTTGTCTCATTGAAACTAAATACTTTGGCCATTGCATGGGCTATTTTCTGACTAATGACACGTAGGTATGAGACCTAAGTAAAGGATAATCTGCGGATAATCCAAACCATCGTCAGGACTTTAAGATGCAGGGTTTGTGTATTCTGTCAGGGAAGGAATGAATAAAGAGCACTGAGGGCTAGTGAAGATAGGAAAGCTGAGAACAGACTGCATTTTACAGGTGCAAACGCCCCAGACTGAATGATCAACAAATGGCATTGTGGGACCCTTAATGAGCTGGGCTTGCAGGTAGGCATGGTAGGGCCGACAGTGGAATTATCTTTGAGGTTTTCCCAAGCATTTTGCTCTTAAATGTATGAAAAGAGGGCATAGCTTCATGAGCTCTAACGTGTATTGTAGGGGCTTAGGTGCCAGGCACAGTTGTATTAGTATACACACTGTTTGATTTTATTCCCGCAGTCCCTCTGTAATGTGGGTTATGAAACACAGGGACATATCACATTAAATCTCTAACTTCAGTATGTTTCCAAAACTGAATTCGAGATTTCCTGGTACTAAACCTACTTTGACTCCTTCCACATGAGAGTCTTCCCTCTTCTCAGTCAGGTATTCCCCACGTCTGCAGTTCTGCAAGCCAGAAGCTGGGTATTACCTTTGATTCTTCTCTTTCCTCCCGCTTCGCCTGCAGTACCTTGTCAAGTTCAGTCAGTTATACCTCAGAATGTATCCGCTCCATCACCTTAGACTGGGTCACCATTGTCTCCTCACTAGTGTCCACTGTGGGAGTTTCCAGCTATGTCCCTCTCATGCATTCTACGTTCAGCAGATGCCAGAAGGATCTATAAACGTAAATCATGCCAGTTCCTTGCTTAAAACCGTTTAATCGCATTGCAATGCCATTAACATAATATCAACTACATCACTGTGGCCTGTGTAGCCCTCCACAGCCTGCCCCTGTCAGCCTGTCCAAACCCATTTCCCCGAGTTCCAGCTGCTCTAGCCTTTTTCTGATCCTGGAACATGACAAACCTCTGCCTGGTTAGCACTGCTCCTGAGGTCTGCAGCTAGCCTTCTAGGCACTCAAGTGTCAGGCTAAAGGCCGATCTATGGAGATCAGCTTCCCCAGGATAAAGTAGATACTCCTGTATCCCAGTCACATATGTCATTCTTCCAGATACCTGCCTTTCTACACAACTGTTTTTTTTTCTAATGCTAACAAAACTCTAAAGCCCCACGGACTTAAAGCAAGAGGCTTTCTCTCCATGCTCATCTGGGTCACAGGGTTTCCACTCCACGTTGACCTCACTCAGAGTTCAGACTGACAGAGCCCCCATCAGTAGGAGTGACTCTGTCATACCAGCAAGAGGGAATGAGGTAGGCTGCACACTGGCTTAAAGACCGGCACCTAAAAGGGACTCCTGGCACCTCCACTTACACCATACTGGTGGAAACAAGTTACGTGGTCGTTCTTACCATCATAGGGTAGGGGAGGCCACCCAGTCATGTGTCCAGGAGGACTGGGATGTGGTGATCAACACTAATGACCCCCTTCCTCCCTCCAGCATGTATAAATGATATGCAGGGAGGGGATGTGCTTCTTAATTTGCACAGTATATGTATATAAGAGTGTGTCTTACTCACCCCGTCTCTAAAATGAGGATCATCATCATCATCATAGTAATACCTACTTCATAAAGGAGTTTTAGGATTGAATGAATTTAATACCTATTAAGTTCTTAGCATGGTGACTGGCATAAGAGCTCAACGAATGTTAGGTCTGATGAAAATGATAAAGATGATGATATTTAAGTCTCAGTTTAACAGAAAAACACACAGGTTGATGCCAGATAGTATATACAAAAATCTTCATTCATCAAGGGTGTGAGAAGGAGATTGGCCTGCTTGAGACTTTAACTTAGAATTAATGGACCTGTACTAGGTAGGTTAATATTGTATATGAGCAAAAGCAAACTATTTCCATATGCACAAATATTAAAGCTTTATGCGTTATTAGTTTAAGGATCTAGAAATTTTATGCAAAGACGTGGTGTCAGAAACACAGGTTTTCTGTCATTTGTTTGTTAGCCTCACATTTGTTCCCACAGGGTCAGTGCAGGCATCATTGCAGCTGTTTAAAATGAAGAGCAAATATGTGGATATAATTCATATGACTTTGAAAAAAAATGAGTATGCTCTGCCCCATGACTTTTAATTTAAAAGATACATAAAGCACAGCGTACTCCTTGCAAAATGAGAACTCCTGCATCTCCTTCCTCTTTAGTATTCAGAGTTCATCTGTCTGTGCAGTATAGGCTTTGGGTAATTGGAGTTAATCTAATGTTTTAAGCTTTTGGGTAGAAGGAGTGAATAAATACACATCTGTCTTCCAAGACATAAAAGTATCTTTGCAAATAAGAAAACTCTGTTTAAAATAATTTATAGCTTCACAGTGCCTACATTGAGCAATGTAACCCAGCCCCCTGATTTTCACTGGTATCTAAAACCTATAAAATGCCAAAATATTATTCAAATGTCATATCCCAGTGAGACCTTCCCTGACTACACTATTTAAAGTTGCAGCTCCAGCTTCTTCCCCTTCTTTATTTTCCTTCTTGACATTTGTCACCATGCGATACACTATATAGTTTACTTGTTTATAGTTGGTTTCTTCCCAGTAGAACCCAAGCTCCAGGAGGACAGGGGCTTTGTTTTGTAAACTGCTGTATGGACAGCATCAATAACAATGCATGGTACAATAGATAACGTCTAATTAAGTAATTAGCGAATTCTCTTAAATATTTACTCAGTGCATGGCACTGTGGGTTATCCATGGAAAGTATAAGACATTCTCATAGTCTTGAAATAAAACAGCCATGACCTTGCTATGGAAAGATGAGCGTGAAGATCTGTACATTCGTGCTGTTGATTAGAACAGAATGCCATCACTACTTGGCGAGAAGATGATTGTTGGCTGCAGAAGCCATGCAGGAGCCCTTTCATAAGATATGGTTCACTTCGTTTTGCAAGTTTTACAGCATTTTGTTTGATAACAGATTGATTCCATGTTTTCATAATTTTGAGTGAGTACTAACAGAAACTTTTTACAGGCAAACATTCAAGTCTGGAGTGATGGAATCCGTGCTACTCAAAGTGTACATCAAGTATGATGCCAGTTCAGAATCTGGCATCTCCCACTTGGCTCAAGGTTGTGTTGTTAGTCTTGAGCCAAGTGGGAGAACTTTTCATTTGGGTAGATTCGTGATGCATCATCATGACTAGAGTGTGGATGATATGGGGTAGCCCCTGCTGCCTCCTATCCTTATATTGTGTGTGACTCTGTTTAATGTCTTATGACATTATCACTTGTATAAGCAGTGAGAAAGGATTGACCACACGATATTCTCTCTGTCAAAAGAGAGAAAGCCTGGGAGAAGCCCAAGGCAGGGGTAGATGGATAGATGGGTTTTTCATATCTGAGGGAAAGCCGGTGAGGATATTTAAGCACATTTAGTGTTTATTTTAATATTTGGGTAGAACTGTAAAGTTTTCCAGGCATTTTCAGGTGGCAGTGATAGTGGTGATAATGGCTAGGGGAGAGAGGTGACACGCATTATGTACAGGAACATATTCTCATTTCATTTGGGCGAGTTCTTATTTTCCCCATATTGTGGATGTCAGAACTATCCTAGTTTTTCTGTGGTAACAAAACTAATGAGTGGCAGAACTGGGATTTGAACACAGTTTTCTAGTCTAAATTGTGTGCTATTTCCATTATTCTGAGAAGAAAAAGTGAACTTCGTATGGACTTTAAAAAAATATATATCTATTTGAGAGAGAGAGAGAGAGAGAGAGAGAGAGAGAGAGAACGTGCACTTGCACACATGCACAGGGAAGGGCAGGGAAGTTGGGAGAGCGAATCCTAAGCAGCCTTCATGCTGTCAGTATGGGCCCCATGTGGGGCTCAGTCTCACAAACTGAGATCATGACCTGAGCTGAAATCAAGAATCAGACACTTAACCGACTGAGCCACCCAGGCACCCCGTGTGATCATTTTTTTTATGCAATCAAATACTTATTTTATGTGAAACAAACAGCTTAGAAGTATTTGTAAGCCTATCATATTCAATAAGTAAGGAGGTTATCCGTAGCAGCCTGTTTGAAAACATGCACTTATTTTTTTTTAATATCACATTGCAGCCTTCTGTCTTCCATAACATATTCTCCTAAATTAGAACGTAAGACATCAGAGTGCACAGGACCAACAGACAGTGACAACGAGAAGGGAGAAAGAAATAGCAAACGAGTCTGTTTTAATATGGCGGGAGATGAGCAGGAAGATTCAGGTCATGACACCATCAGCAACAGAGACTCTTACAGGTAATTCATTAATTCCTTGAACTCATCTCATCAACACGGTCAAATATGATTCCGTATTTTCCACAAAGATCTTGAAAAAACTTTTTGTCGTTTTTATTTATTACCCTCACAAAATAACCGCTGTCTGTTACCCACCCCAGAGAAAGCATAGGGATTCCACGTAATCTTTCAATTATTCGTTTTTCATAATCTTAGTAATTTGGAAAAAGCATTTTTTTTTCTCCAGCTCTGTGGACCTAACTTGGGGGACTCGTTTTGTTACAGAGTATGTAATATGTATAGCAAATAAGCCAATTGAGCCTATGTTAACTTTTTTTTCCAAATATCTGTTTCTGATTATTGGACTATTAGATAGTGAAAAGGAGTTCTTCTTGTTGTATTTCTCCCCTTGCTTGTTATATTCTACATTCCAAGCTAATTGGACTAATTTCACCTGCTCACCTCCATGACCAGCTTTGTGTATTTTTTCCTTCCTTGCATGCTTTCTGCATAATCTTGGTAGGTAGGACTGCTGTACCAAAGTACCAAGGCCTGGATGGCTTAAACAGAAGAGGTTTATTTATTTATTATTTGACAGTTCTGGGGCCAGAAGTCTGTGATCAAGGTGTCAGCGGGGCCTTCCCTTCTATGGGGGTCTATGGAGGTCTGTGGAGGAAGGATAAGGTCCAGGCCTCATTCCTTGGCTGTAGATGGCCATCTTTTCCCTATGTCTTTGTGTGTGTCCACATTTCCCCTTCTTCTAAGGACACCAGTCATACTGGATTAGGGCCCAACTTAATGACCTCATTTTAACTTAATTATGTCTGTGAAAACCCTCCTCCAAATAAGATCATATTCCTGGGTATGGAGTGTTAGACTTCCAGCTGTGAATTTTAGGGAGAGACACAACCAACCCTCCAAAGTCTGTCTTCCTACCAGACTCCAACATGGCTCCTACAGTGAACTTCCTTAACTGGAGTTGCTTATTCTTTCAATCTTTGTGTCACTTGACACCTCACTGACAGCTGTCCTAACGTGCCACATGTGCCGCTTCAGCATCCCCTACCTTACTTGCCTTAATCGAAGACAAAAACTCTTATTTGCTGTTAGGTATTATGCAGTGGTTTACAATGAAAAGATACTAAGTAAGTATTACTAAAGCTATTCTCCTCAGAGATGTTTAGCACAAACTAACAGCTAACATTAAAAACATTTTCACCAGACACATGGGGAAACAAGATGATTTCACATAATTCCCACCATGGCCTGATGTGGCACATTCCCATATTAACTCCATTTTAAGTGTAAGGAAGCTGAGTCCAGATGAGTTATATAATTTGCCTGGGAAACCAGGTGGTCTGGCTCACAGTTTTTCTCTCAGCCAGTGTACTGTCCCAATTTCTACGTGAAAAGGATTTTAATGAATATGTAAGAGATAATTATTCCTAGGGATTTAATAATATAGAACCCAGATTAACCACTTTTACCATTTCATTCACTTTTCGCTTCAAAGGATACCAGTAGGCTGTTTAATAGGAACCTGTGGTGGTTCTCCAGTGGGAAATTACAGATCTGAAAATACTTTCTTACCTCAATTTCTAGTTATCAGATAATTGGAATTACCCTCAAAGTCTCCCTCTAGGCTAAAATAGAAATTTTGAATGTAAATTTAAAGTTAAATAAGTCCTTTTTACCAGTTCTGAGAGGAAAAATATATTTTGCCTCGTGGACTCTTTCCTGAAATCTGTAACGTGTCCATATTCACACACCAACCTTTTAATCACTCTTTCCCGGGACAGTGATTACCGAGCACTTCCCGGGTGTGGCAGCCTGTGCTGAGCTCTGAGGTTGGGACAAGGTGTGGGTCCTCTCTGGGGTTAGCTCAGGATGCAATTGATGAGTTAGAATTTAAAGCTCCCAGAAAGAGTGGAAAGGCAGAGATCAGGAAACAGGACCTTGTCTCTATCAGCAAATTAACTACAGACACATAGCGTCAAATAGATTATGAAGAGTTTGAGGTGCAGCAGGACTCCTCGTTTTCTAACTTCCCATTTAAAAAAGTTCATTCAGGAGTAGCTTACGCGGCATAAGACATCTTGAAGTATGACTGCATTGGAGATTTTTTTTTTCAACGTAAGATAAAACGCGAGTTGAACAAAATTTCTCTTTCTCATAATTTTCTGTTAGACCTATCAGTAAGTAGAACAAAATTTCTCTTTCTCGTAATTTTCTGTTAGACCTGTCAGTAAGTAGAACTGTGACGGGATGCGTTTCTCTAGTAAGAGCTGGCAGATGTGCCCCAAAAGTGACATGTGCCTCCTTCTTTCCAGCGACTGCAACAGCAACAGGAACTCTATCGCGTCCTTCACCAGCATCTGCAGCAGCCAGTGCAGCTCGTACCTCCACAGCGACGAGATGGACTCAGGTGCGTCCGGCCGCACTTGGCCACGCTCGGCCTCCGGGGGGTACTTTTAAGGGCTGGAGGCCTTGGATCGGCTTGCGTTTTCACCGTCTGTCAGGCATTCTTGGCTGTCGCTCGTACTGCATTTCAGTCGCACGTGTTCGATAAAGTTAGCGTCGGGGGCCCATGGTAAACAGAGTGAATTAAAAAGAGATGAGAGAAACAAATGCATTCTGACCTGAATGTGTATCTTAGGAAGTTAAGTGGCACTGTGAAGGATGCGAGGGTCCGTGGCAATGGGTTGAGCTAAAACGTTAGGCGTTGATTGTGGGAGGAGGTGGGACGGGCTTTGAAACCGAGGACTTCTGAGACAGTAGATGCTCCTGAACTGGCCTTGGAGGTGGGTGGCGGGGAGACGAATGGCGAAGAAAACACGGAGAGTTAGAAATATCCTGCAAATAGCTTAGTTGGAGTGTGGTAAGAACAAAGACCTGGCGCCCAGTTAGGACACATCTTAATTTTGAAATAGGCAGTTTATTTCAACTATGTAACCGTTAGATAATTGCACCGTTTGAAAGAATCGTTGACATGGGATATACAGTGTTTGTTCCTGTGAGGCACTCTGTTTCCACCTGCATTTCAAAGAGCATTCATCTGATACTCTAACTGCTATTGAGTCTTTTGGGACTCTTATCTGAATATAAGAACTTGATGGAATAAGAGCTCATGTCGAAAGATTATTTTCTTATTTTATTTATATTAAAATATTTTAGCATGTTAAACATAAGATTTATCTTTATATCCAGGTGATGAGCTTCCCCTCAGTGTTCGCATTTCTCACGATAAACAGGACAAGATACATAGTTGTCTCGAGCATCTTTTCAGCCAGGTATGATTTTTTCTTTTTTTCCACAGGCCAAACTGTCAGGAGTCCCTTCTGTAGACAGAGTAAAAAGAACTTGGAATAAAAATGGAAAGGACTCAATCTGTTCCTCTGCCCCCTGTACCTCAATTTCCACAATTTAAAATGGGAATAAAGATTCTTCAGCCAACCAACCTAAAGGATTGTTGTGACTATCAAGTATTTTATGGTTCTTGGAAACATTACAGTTATAAAGACAGGCATTATTCTTTTAGTATTTTTTATTTATTTTCAGAATTCTTCATGACATTTCTTGCTTAACTTTATTCCTAATTTTAAGGAGCACAAGGTTGTTGTAGTGCTTGTGTTGGTGTTTTGCATTTTTAAAATTTGTTTAAATGTTTATTTATTTGAGAGAGAAGGAGAGAGAGAGAGCAAGGGAGGGGCAGAGTGAGAGAGAATCCCAAGCAGGCTCCATGCTGTCAGCGCTAGGCCCAACATGGGGTTCAGTCTCATGAACTGTGAGATCATGACCTGAGCCAAAATCAAGAGTCAGATGCTTAAACAACTGAGCCACCCAGGTGCCCCGGGTGTTTTGCAATAATATATCTATCTATCTATAGATAGATAGATAGATAGATAGATAGATAGATAGATATATCCATAACCAAAATCGATAATGTAGAAGATAATGTAGAAGCTTTTACTGCTTTGAGAAGGATTATGATAACTTTTAGGGTTTTTTTTTAATAACTCTAGAAATCTCTCTTTGTAAAGTAAACATATAAAATATATTTATACTTTATATTAATATATGGTGTGGTAGGAAATATTGCAAGTATTATCTGTGAGTTTATTCCAATATTTTATTCAAAGGTGGATTTTTGCAAGCATCCTGAGATTTCAAAAATAATTGTGGCTCTAAGAAAAAGCTGTTTTACAAGAGTTACTCTTGGAAATGTATACTATATATTATGAGAAGTATGTAACTTTCAGAAATCTCTGCTGTTACGATAGGTGGATTCGATTACCAATCTCCTAAAAGGGCAAGCTGTTGTAAGGGCCTTTGAGCAAACCAAGTACCTCACACCAGGGCAAGGATTACAAGGTAAGGTTTAAAAAAAATCATTATTAGAAGCAATTGGGAAACAAAAGTGGGAAATAATATAGTCATGAAGCAAAAGCATAGTTTAAGAAGAAAATGGCTGCTCATGCTTCAATATCTCCTTAATATTAATTCAGTTTAGTCATTTTTGAATATATATAAAAATGTCAGTACAGGACCTTTTAGTTTCTTTGATAGTTTAAAATGTTCACTTCTTATAGGGACTAGAATGAATAGAAATGAGTTAATTGAAGAGATGTTGCACTGCTTTTGCTGAAACCAGCATAAGTGCCTACTTGGTTATAGCCCATTGGTGGGGGAAGGGGTTTCTGGAATGTGTGTTGGCAAACAGAACAGCCAAACAGACCAAGATCTAGAGACACCACTTTCTGACCTCTAGTTTTGAACATTGAAACCAGAATTTTTAATCTAAACTGTTCCCTTGGTTTAAACATTTGTAAGGAAATAATTATAAGGTTTGACTTTTTTTTTTAGGTTTAACCAATTTTCTCCTGTAATGTAACTAGAGAAATTACCACCATGCTAATAATCCAGGATGGCAGGAATGAAAGAGAATTCTGAAGCTTACTGGTTTATTAACTGTTTGGTAAATGGTTGAAACTTATAAGAGCTTTTCTGTGTTTATTTAGAATTTCAGCAGGAAATGGAACCAAAGCTGAGTTGTCCAAAAAGGTTAAGGCTTCACATCAAGCAAGACCCTTGGAATCTTCCCAGCAGTGTCCGGAATCTTGCTCAGAACATCAGAAAATTTGTTGAAGGTCAGGATGAAAAGCAAAGAACATTGTATAGCGTTAGCAATAATCATTTAAACCCCCAAAACTCAGTAGTGCCCTGATTACTTTTTGCAGTATTTCATGTTATGAGGAAAATAAAAGAACTGGAAAGGGTGAGGTAGGAGGAAGGAAAAAGGAATAGAATTACAGAGCCTTATGCTCCAAGGATCTAAACAATGTAGAATGAATCATGAAGAATATTTTCAGTAAATAGAATAAGGGCTCATACTTAAGAAGAAAAGTGGAACATGGAGAGAGTTTCATATTTTATAATATGAAACAATATCAGAAAAATTTCTAAAAGATTCACAAAAGTCATGAAGCTAAGTTTTATGGGAAGTCTAAAAATTTAATTGTGAATCCATGAGAATCAAAATAATAACATAGGTTTTATCACTGGTTTTCAAATTTCCTTTTTGGACGTGTTTGTCCAAGTTTATTGTTATTAGCTACCGTGACATTGCTTACTCAACATCCTATAATTGGTACAGCCTACAGTTGGAGATGTAACACTTCAAGATGATTCTAGTGAGTCTCATTTCATGTTGTTTAGGGCTAGAGTATTATGTAGGAAATTCTGAGGGTTTCCAAAATGATTATAGTGAAATAAAATGAAATGAGAAATATGTTTGATTTTTTTAAATGCCTGATTCAGTGGTTGTCTTCCCAACATTAGGCCAGTGGTTGGAAATGTCTGGAGATATTTTTTTTGGTTGTCACGATTGTGAGTGTGCTACTGCATCTAGTGCGTAGAGGCCAGACATGCTTCTAAATGTTGTGTGGTATACAACACTGTCCCTCACAACAAAGAATTATTTGGCCCAAAATGTCAATAGGGCTGAGGTTGAGAAACCTCTAGAGTAAATAAGTATATGCCTGCATTTAAATTTTTATCCCTCAGTCATTTGGATACGGTAAATAGTATTCAGCAGAATAGCAACGTAACCCCAGTCACTACCATTTGTTTTAGGGTGAAGTAGAGAGAGTTGTATACTTTGCCGACAAAAGAGAGCTCTTAACCAGATAGAGTCTAAGCCTGTGACATAACTCTTGGGCCTCAGTTTCTTCATTTACCAAATGACAGAGATGTGTGTGTGTTCTGGAATTACTAAATTTTCCACCTAGAAATGTACTCAAATATAACATCTTAGATATTGATTACCGATCAGTAGAAGGAAAAGGTTGTATAAATATGGAGAACTCCATATAAATCTCTTGTGATGAAATCTCTTTTGTTTTTGACAGCTGGATTTCTTGGCTATATTATTAGTTTATAGCTAAATATAATGGCTACTTGTTACACATAGCATCATATTTAATGAAAAGTCTGAATTTAAAACCCCCCAAAATAATGAATAGCAAAAATGATAAATATATTTTTTAAAAGCTTCCAGGTTTAAAGGAATTTAAACATACATTTTACTGATAAAAGGTAATTTTTTTTGAGGAATAAATGCCAGTATCATAACACTCATAGAAGTTGTAAATGCACTTGTTCTCATCATCTTTGAGGGTTTTTTCCATCTTATAATTGTTTTTAGACTAAATGCAGTATCAAGAACAGAGAAATCATTAAACCTTTTGTTTTTTGAGGAGCTTTATCTTTAACATTTAAACACTTTCTAATGCAATATAAAAAGCTTAATTTTTACTGATACTCATTTAAAAAACCTTACATTTTGGGGGCACCTGAGTGGCTCAGTCAGTTGAGTGTCCAATTCATGATTCCAAGACTGTGGGATCGAGTCCTGCGTCAGGCTCTTTGCTGAGCACATGGAGCCTACTTAAGATTCTCTTTCTCTCCCTCAGCCCCTCTCCCCCGCTTGCTCTCTCTCTCTCTCTCTCTCTTTCTCTCTAAAATAAATAAATAATTAATTAAAAATATTACTTTTCATCTTAAGTCCTCACCAGTTTATCATGAATTCATCCTATTCAACTTAAAAGTAATTTTCTATTTCCCATTTGTCTTTATATAGGGGATTATTTAATGAAGGGTTAGGTCTTGGCTAGAAATTCAACATAATGTCAGCTTGCCAGCATTTCATGGTTTATATAAGTAGCTGGGATAACCCCATTCTGATGTTCCTGTAAGGGAGGAAAAAGGTAATCTTTTTCTTTCTAGCCTTCTAGGTTCTCTGGCTGGGATCCTATAAATTAGTCAGCCAAAAAAAACAAATGAGAAGCATATACATTTATTTAGTATCTTTTACATGACATGGGAGCCTTTGTAAGGAAATGAAGACCAGAAAAAAATGGTTAAACCTGAGTGCTTTTTAACTAAGTTTGATGAAGGGTAGAAAATTTTGGGAAAATGGAATAGGACAAAAGGGTATGAACAAAGGGTAATAAACTGGGGGAAACTTAGCAAGGCCTGTTCCTCTCAGTATCCCTCCATGTTCTGAGATAAGGATGTTCTTTTCCTCTGGGATTGAGAAGGCACTTCTCGCATGAAGGTTTTATGACCTGCTTCAGGGGAGAAGCAGAGAGTCCTCTGTACATCTGCTGTTCCTCAAATTCCTTCATGTTAAATTTTCAGTATGATAAATTGTCATATTTTGGGATAGTGGGTTCTGAACCTCATCATTCATTCATCTCTGATTTCAAAATATCCTATCAAGTGTATACCAAAGATGATATAAACACTTAACAATTATATGATCTTTATATAGGAAACACTGTTACAGTGTCATTCCTAAACTACATCACACTGTGTCATTCATCCATTCACAGCCTGCTAAACTGAGGGTAGAAGAGAGCAGAAAAAACAGTAGGCTAAATGGTGGATAGATTCATTGTGTAGTGTCACAAAGTTGATGCCTGTCTCCTGCTTAAACGCTACACTAAGTTATGGTCTCAAATTATCAGCCAACTGAAGATATTTTTGCTTGATTAGCCCACTGTGATATTGTGATTTACAATAAGAAATATGTAACTGGTCTTTGACCCTATCCCTGGCAGATTTTCTAAAACTCTTGGAATTTCTTGTGAGGAGAACAATAAAGGTGTCTTTTGTTCTGTCAATGAGGTGACTTTTGGAAAACCTCTACTGATGGGGGCTGGTTGCAAGGAAGCCAACCCTGTGATTAGGGGGTTGGAACTTTCCAAATTCCATCCCCCTCCCCACCCAGGGGAGAGGGCCTGGGGATTTAGTTCAGTCAACAGTAACTAGTGATTTAATCAATCACGCCTATGTAATGAAGCCTCCATAAGATCCCAAAAGGATGGGATTCGAAGAGCGTCCAGGTGGATTCTAGAAGAGTGGTGCATTGAGAGAACATGGAAGCTCTGCACCATTTCCCCATGCCTTCCTTTCCCAGGGCATCTCTTCCTTCTGGCTTCTCCTGAGTTCTATCCTTTTATAATAAACTGGTGATTTAGATGTTTCTCTGGGTTCTGTGAGCCACTCTAGCAAATTGATCAAACTTAAGGAAGGAGTGGTTGGAATCTCCAGTCTGTAGCTAGTTAGTCAGAAACACAGGTGACACCTGTTGACAGGTGGCACCTGAAGTGTGTGTGTGTTGGGGGGGGGGGCAGGCAGTCTTGTGGGACTGAGCTTTTGCCCTGTGAGATCTGATGCTGCCTTTAGGTCGATAATGCCAGAACTGAGTCGAATTGTAGGATACCCCGAGAGTGTTGAATAATTGCTTGGTGGTATGGGGTGAAAAAAACACACACGGAGATTAGTGGTAGAATTGGACCCATCATCACCTTAAATTCAAATGTTTATTAGCGAACACATTTGCAACTCTTGCTCCCTACAAATATTGTACTTTTCTCAAAATCTATCATTTTTTCAACAACTTACTTTTTCCCCATTTTTTTCTCTGCTGTTGTCCCAACTAAAGAGCTTCTTCTCCTTTTTTTAAATCATAAGTCTCCATTTCCCCCTTTTTCTCCTTACCTCAGTAATTAGGATAGTTTTCTGGTGACTCCCCTGTCTCCATCTTTTCTGGTTTATATATTACTATATACTATATTCATCTTCCTAAAATATCATATTAATAATCTGGTACCCTGCCCCGGAACCTTACAGTGATTTTTGTTAGGTAAGTCTAAACTCATCAGCCTGATGGTGGAAGCCATTTTTCAGTGGGGCTATCTAACTATATCCTAATCTCAGTCTCTAAATTATATAATAAAGTATTTTCTATGCTAGATTGTTGGAAATTTGGTATTCATTCTTTACTGTATTCTCTTGCTAGCACTCTTTCCCACTCTTAGGCTATGTACCTACTCCCTTGACAATGTAACTTTCAAAAATGTTTAAAAACATTTCAGGACTCACTTAGAATTCTATACAACTTTAGCTAGATCCAGGTTATAATAACAATAATGCTTCACAGGTACACGGTTCTTTAAATAATTTTCCAAAGCTTTTAATATATATCCCTTTTTATTTTTTTACACAGGCTCCTGAAATAGATAAGATAGGTGTTATCATCACTTATGAATGAGCACATTGAAAGTCAAAGTATGGTTGGCCATTGAACAGCATGAGGATTAGGGGCTCTGATTTCCTACACAGTCAAAAATCTGCATTTGACTCCCCCCACCCCACCATCAAGCCTAACTACTAATAGCTTACTGCTGACCTTACTGATAACATAAATATTCATAATATAACATAAATATTCAGTTAATATATATTTTGTGTGTTATATGTACCATATACTATATTCTTAAAATAAAGTAAGCCCGAGGAAAGAAAACATTAAGAAAATCATGAAGAAGAGAAAATCCACTTACAATACTGTACTGTATTTATTGAAAGAATCCACATATGAGTGGACCCATGCAGTTCAAACTTTTGTTATTCAGGGGTTAAGTGTACTGTAGCAATTTTCCGAATACCACAAAGCTGGTACACTTTCCTTGGTTTCATTAACCATTAGTCAACCACAGTCAAGAAGCAGAAGATCGTCTTTCTGACTTATCATCAGAAGGTTAGTAGTAGCTTGACTCTACGTCACAATGTCTACTTCATCTCATCATGTAGGCATTTTATCACCTCACATCATCACAAGAGGAAGGTTGAACACAGTACAGTAAGATATTTTGAGAGCGAGAGAGACCATATTCACATAACTTAATAGATTATTATAATTGTTCTATGTTATTATTAGTTCTTGTTAATCTCTTACTGTGCCTAATTTGTAAATTAAACTTTGTAATAAATAGGTATGTACAGGCAAAAACATCGTCTATATAGGGTTCAGCACTATCCATGGTTTCAGGCACCCACTGGGGGTCTTAGTCCATATCCCACATAGATAAGAGGGGATGACTATAACAGATGGTTCTTCTGACTCTTTCTGGTACTTTCCTGCCTCTGAAATTCTCGTGTTACTATCTTCTTTGTAAAATGTAACGTCCTCTCAAGTATTTCCTACATTTCTTATCAGGTAACTTTGTCACTCTGACTCTATTGTGAACCTGTCTGGAACAGAATGCAACCTAACCTTTTATTTCCCATAATCTTTAGCACATAAAGAAGCTTTGAATATTTTCATATTTCCTTATTGCAAGTAAACTGTTTACTAATTAGAAGTAAGGCAATGAGTATGAAGTTAATACACATCATTTATTGAACATTTGTGATTGCCCTCGTTTGGAGCTGTGTTCTGAAAAAGAGTATTTGGAAATATTTAGTATTGTTCTGCACTTTAGGACAGTATCTTGACATACAGATAGGACAGGAAGTCTATATATAGAGAGATTATATAGATATACATTATATAACTTACAAGTATAATCTGTGTAATTAATTTATAATTCTAATATATAATGTATAATAAAATATGTATATTTATAGATAAAGTTTATAAATGCATATACGACATTTAAAAGTTTAAGTAACTAAGAAAAAATGCCATTTGAGAGTTTATTGATCAAGACCGCAATAGCTGTAGGAGTTTAGAGAACACCATGGAAACTACAGCAGCTAAGGGTGACTTACAAAGGATGAAGCAGAATTTGAAGGGTGTTTCACAGACTAATTTAATTTGGAACTGGAAGGATTTTAGCATCTTGAGAAATGGATAGAATTTATATAGGCAGATAGGAAGAATAGCATGTCAAGTAAATGGGATTTGTATTATCTAATGGAGTAAGGTTGTGCTAATTTTTACTACACAGTTAAAATGTGGTGTCAATGGCAAAAAAAGACTGAACAACTAACTGCTATGCTTTCTTTTTCTGCAGAGGTGAAGTGTAGGATACTCCTGGCTCTTCTTGAATATTCAGGTAATATTTCTCATTATTTTTATTATTTGAAATTATTGTAGCCTGAGACCTTAGAAGTGTCATGATATCACAGCAATGCCTTTAACAGATTAGATGGAAATATGATCCATACTTACTCTAAAGCCTTGCAAAGATTTTTAAAAAATACTTAGTTTTAATGAAAACACAAAACATTCTCATCTTCAGTTATAGTACAAACATGGAAATGTATATAAATATATATTTAACTAAAAATAGAGCTACCATACAATCCAGCAATTGTGCTATTAGGTGTTTACCCAAAGGATACAAAAATACAGATTCTAGGTGGTACATGCACCCAGGTGTTTATAGCAGCATTATCAACAATAGCCAAACTATGGAGAGAGCCCAACTTTCTGTCCATTGACTGATGAATGGATAAAGAGGATGTAGTATATATACACCATGGATGGTTACTCAGCCATCCAAAAGAATGAAATCTTGCCATTTGCAATGATGTGGATGGAGACAGTAAGTACTTTGCTGAGAGAAATAAGTCAGAGAAAGACAAATACAAATACCGTATGATTTCACTCATATGTGGAACTTAAGA